CCACTTGGGACAGCAGCTGTATTCATGGTGACTATACAATAGTGGCAGTGTAGTCACCAGCAACCTTGGTAGGTGCATTTTAACGCAAGGGCAGAATGACGTGCGTTGCATATCCAACACGGTCCACCACACATCTACTTAACTTGCTCTAATTCACTTTGGGTACGGCATGTTGTCACTTATGCAGCACGGTTAAAAGATTTTTCATTTCTTAAAATATCATGTCAACAGCCAGCGTGCGTTTGCAGGGTTAGGGTCAGGGTTGCATCAGACCGGCCTCACTGATCGCAGGACATTAAGCAAGTCTACTGCTGACAGCTGACTGATGTAAGTGTCAAAAAGGATTTTAAGGGATTAGCACTGTTAGGGACGTTCTTGGCCCCCAAAATGTCATGTACCATTTAATCAACTCTTTTTAACAAATATTTTGTTCTTCGCATTTTGTACACACCCAGAGTCCTCGCACCAGGTTTGCATCTTGTCCCAGAATCAGATCCTCAGAGTATGAGGACACAAGCCATGCAGTACAGGAGCACGCACACACTCTCACAATAACATATGATCACCCACTGGGTCATCTCGACCCAAAGGACAACACGAGGGTTGAAACACACAATAACAAGAGAAAAAAAATCAATAGCACTGTTTTGTTTTTTTTAACTGTTTGAAGTAGTTGCATGAAGCAATTGTTATAAGCACTGCTACACAGTTTGACATGTCATATATAAATTAGAGTAGAGAGCTGTTACAGCGTGAAAATGTCTGTGATTATAGGCCACCAGTTCCCTTTTGGGGTTGATGCAATAACATAAAAATGTTGGAAATGGCTTGGTGTGTGAAAAACCTATTATCGAAAGAAGTTACAAATATAAAAATTTTAAACGATAAATGAAACGGTATATTTGTACTGACACCATACAACATGGAAATCAATGAGTATGTTGGGGGTTTTTTTGAGTCCCTCAGGACACATAAAGACAGAAGGTACCTACTTTTCTGACAGCAGGTTCTCTTACTAAGATCCAAATCCAGGAAAATGTATATCTTCAGAACAATCTTACCTGTGCCACTAAGAAACTTTTTTAACAATAATTTGTGTACTCTAATTCCCAGGAAGACCTGACTTAATCAACTGGGCCTAACACAATAAAAGCATGTCTAATCTACCCATCCATCCATCCATTTTCATCCGCTAATCCATTACCGGGTTGCGGGGGCAGCAGTCTCCATGACCGCCACCCATAACACACTGCACCGTACCTGGGGTTCAATCTTGCCCAGGAGGTGAACCCTGGGGTTCCACACCAATAACAGAGACGTTGCCTCGGGGCCAAATAGCCACTGTCTAATCTACTGTATCTTCAAAAATATAACATGTGAGAGACACTGAACTGTTTCACTTAAAATACATATCAGTCTTTCAGAATATGTTAATGGCAAGAACGGAAAACTGAGTCTTGTTTGAACTGAGCAAAGAAAAAAAGGTATTTTTTAAAAGTCTTCTTACATTAGAATTTACATGTTCTCTTTGCTTTGACATTTTCTCTTCTGTGCGTGATTTTTGAAGAAGAGCATCGCACCATCAAAAGTTCAAAAAGAGAACAAGGATGCATCGGTAAGATGATGTATGTGTATGACGGTTAAGGAATCATCCAGAGGAGCTGAAGCTCAGAGTAAATCCTCTGTCTAATTCTCTGCCTAGCATAAGTCTTATTCCCTGTAGCCTTTCGCTAACCCTCCAGGGAATCTGGATCAGCATTTAATGAACTGTCTTCAATTAGCCTTTTCTCCACTATTTGCACTGCACAGTAAACTGGAGCATAAAATCAAGTGTGTCTGCCTTCTTTTTTTTCCCCCATGTTCCAGTTGTACCCCCATGGCTTTATTTAAATCACAATCAACGTTTGGGAACTCCCCTGAGATGTAGCCACTCTTAAATAAAGACTGAGTTCTGAAATCCCCTCTCTCCACTCACGCTTAACAGGGTTCCATTGTTCCACACCTTCGCTGATCTCACAAAGTGTAAGTCTTCAAACATGATTATAATGTGCTTAGAGATTAAATTATAGGAAATCATATCAATATAATTTGGTAAAGTGGAAGATATGATAACGGCAATGGTTGCGCTGAAGCATTACCATTAGGTTCCTCATGGGAAATAAAAGCTACCTGTGACGTATAACGTGGCCATAGCCCAGTGGATCAGAAGGGACATGCAGTAAAAACTGCACAGTGTGGTTTCTTCACCGGGGTGACATCTGTCAAATGGAAAAGCCGAAAGTGATCCAGGCTGTCGGTCACAAAATTCAGCCAGACTTCAATCATAGCTTTGTCCCTATTGTGTTCAACAGTCCACACTAACATAGTGGTCAGTAAGAATGATGCCATCATACAGCTCAAACAATGAGAGCATTTTGAGTGTGCATAGATTGCTGCAGCATGGTAATATAATGTATGCCATTCTTATAGGAATGCTGAAAGGTCAGGACACCTTAACATTTTGCTTAAATATGTCTAGGTATCAGAAAACGGGAAAACACTGTGATGCAGAGGTTTGTTTTGTGCCAGCTTTTCCACAATCACACGGTTAGGCTGAGCGCAAAACTCAGGCATTTCAATTATATGTTAACTTTACGGCGCTAATAAAACATTTTTTGTTACCACTGGAAATTTCTTAACACAGAGGAAAGTCAAATGGAATACACAGGCTTGATGACAGCAAATCATACATCAACACTTGTGTGAACTGCAAAATTTGCATTGCGAAAATCAATGCTTAAACCACCGTTTGGTTATTGTACTACTGTGCCAACAGCAAAAAAAAAAAGAAATTATTAATTAAATAAATGAACGAATATCAATTTTATGAATTCATACATTCTCAATCGTAAAATGTAAATAAGAATCTATTGTTTGACTTAATTCCAAAGTATACCAACCATCGGTACCCTTTAAAAAGGATGCTTTTTTTTTCTGAGTGAGATAATCGTGCTTACCCTTTTGATTTTTCTTTAGTGGTCCAGATGTTTCTTTGGCTATAGTAGAAAGGATGTTTTAATGTGTGAGAGTCTGAGCTATATTTAACTGTTTTGGATGCCCCCACATGTAAAAGTAGAGAAAGACTGCATAAAGTCAAGGGCAATATATACATAGCTACGCTCCATCTGATAAGAATGTAAACACAATTGGTGCAGTAATCTTCATAACAATTTGTTTTCTTCAACATTTTAAATCAATAAGTAGTGGGTCAGTGGCAGAACCCCCACCTGACAGGTTCTAGGTTTGATACCATCCTAATTTCAGTTTGTGTTGTATCTGAAAGGGGATGAGTTGGAATGGGTTGATGGGTAGCATACCTGTCGTTATATATATGCATGGCAATATATATAGTGCCATGCTCAGAGCACCTCAGTGGCAACTGGTGGACTCGAACCTGAAGCCTTCCGGATTCAAGTCTGCTTCCTTAACCATCAAGCCCCCACTGCCCCCTGTACACACGCACAACACTCCCACAATGACAATAAATGTTATGATTCTTAATTCAAAGTCTGCAAAAATATACAACAGGGTTCTTTAAAATTTACATTTCTGCAAAATGTTTCAGGACTCAAGTAAGAAACAGTTAAGTATTTTATATTTAATACGCCTCAGTAGATCTCAGTAGATTGAAAAACTTCAAACCATAGACTTCAAACACTGATTCCTAAAGAAATCTTTCTGACTCATCTGGTGAAAGAAGGAATTAATAAAATATTCGAAATTCCAATGATTTTGGAACTTAACACACACAAAAAAAACTCCATTCTTCTTCCAAGGGGAATTCACACCTGCTTAACAAAAAAAGGTGTACTGAATAATTGTGAATGTGTTCGCGGACCTGTGAATTGTGCCTATCGTTCTAATAAACACATTAATGTCTGTTGCTATTGTGAAGTTGTGAACCAGTTTAAGCATTTTAGAGCTCTATGGAATTTATTCTACATAGTGAAGGCTTGCTGAAAGCCCATTGTTATGTCGTTCAGTGATTGAAGGGAAAAGCCAAACCCATTATTCAAAGCCATCCAGCACTTAATTAACACCCCATTTGCATTATGGCAAAAGCGCTGTGGCTGCTGCTTGATTAATATGTCTTCCTAGCAAGTCAATCACTTTTTTTTTTTCCTGGCACAAGACAAGGCTACATTTATTTCCGCATAAGAAAGAGGGAGTGAGGACGTGATATGTAAGAATAGGAAAGTGAACACATTTTTATGAAAGGTACTGACAAAATAAATAATCATAATGATAATAAAATACAGGAGTATACAATAAGCTGTCTACAAGAAAAAACATGGTCAACTTTACAAAAAAAATATGCTCTTTGGGGCAATGTGGCAGATAAACATACTCTATGTTTGCAGAGAATTTATGCTAGTTTTTATTGGTGATCATTAGCCATAATGATATGATTACCAGATGAAGTGATAACAATATACATCTTAATCAATACAGATATTAATATTTTCGATATATTTGGCAGCAGGTATACATTTGGCATTCATCGCTGATGTTCAAAATGAATTAAAGAAAATGACAGGGGTCAGTTGAGAAACTTTCCCTTCTTAGTTTTATGTAAGTGTGTCAGAGGAAGTGCACGGCAATATAACAAAGTCAGCATTGTAAAAACAATGGGCTGATTGCAGAGTGAAAGTATCTTTACGAGCTTTGGTTGGTGATGCATTCAAAACAATTGTAACTTTGTATCCACGTAAAGACCAGACATATCACAGCAATAAAAATCAAATTTAAAGACATAAAAATAGGGTCAAGCTCCTCTGTGTTTCCATAGAACTGGGGTGTCAAATTCATTTTCACCAGGAGGCCACATCAGCGACACAGTTCTCCATCTTAAATCTAATGTAGATTTAGGTATACTTTGTACAACTAAAGCCTTACCTAGAATGTTTCAAAATTAAAGAGAAAAGTCATCCTTTTCAACAAGCAAACGGGGAATACACAAGGCTCAATACTTGGCCTGTTGCTATTGAGCCTCTATGAACAATATACCCAAGGGCCAGTGGGGTTAAGGGGTCAAAACGTTATTTCAATAAAAGTCTATTCTTATAAAAAAAAATGTTTATTGATCAAATCTTGGGGAAGTTTTGAACTAGAATACGGTAACATGAACAAATGGAAACCTAACGTAGTAAACTGGGATCTTTAGTGTCAGTAACTGAACTAAGATTCAAAAGGGACCAATCTCTAATCTATCTGGAGTATATGTAGGTTTTTACCAACTTTTACTGGTGCAGTTGGTGGGTTACGATACAATCAGATTCTTTATGATTAATCACGAACTATTTATTTTGATTACCCGTGATTAAACCAAGCAAATCATCATCACTAAATATGACAAAAAAAGATGCTATATTAGCTTCATAGACTTAGTAGTAAGTCATCTCTGTACATTTTGATAGTGACATATAAAACATGTCAAGACTTGGATGTTGCGGAAATGTTTCAGTCACATTACGTTCCTGTGTTGTTTTCTGTTGATCCTACAACATTACGAACATTCGCTGCGTCACCTCTGATTTGTTCTTGACCTTTTCTGTTCCTCCTGTTTACACAGCCAATACTATCCTGATTGCTTATCCGTCTGTGTATGATTTGTTTTCATCTTGTTTTTCTCCCTTAATAAATTTGGTACAAGTGGAATGATTCATACTTTTATTCCCACCTGAGTGGGTTATTGTTAAAAGCTGTTGTTAGCGAGACATCGTCGTCTATCCTGTCTGCTCTGCAGGAACTTGCAAGTAAGACCGCGTGAAACCCGTTCTGGCCTGCCCTCAGCACCTCCCTGTCTGTGTTTTAGGATCACTTTTAAGGTTTTATTTTTTTCACTTTTAAAGTGTTAAATGGCTACTTCATATCTCTATGACGGTCTGCAACCTTCTGCTCCAGCTGACAAAGGTCTGCCGCTCAGTCTCTTGAGGCTGCCCCTGTCGCTGTGCTAACACTCAGGGGAGACCAGGCTTTCTACGTTGTTACCGACAAACAGGGGAATAAGTTGCCCCTCAAGGTTGACCCACACATTACCTGTTTTGAAGAAAAGTTTAAAAACATATCTATTCTTTTGTGTCCCCAGACACTTTGTGAGGAAGTTGTCTGTAGCCTTTGTGTTCAATGTTCAATTGCTTCAAAAACAAATTGTCGTTTTCCCTTTTTGTAAGGTTCAGTGTTTTTGTGTGTGTGTGTGTTTTGTAGCTATTAATTATATTTCCTCCATCCTCCATATTATCCTTTTATCTTCATCTATTCATACTTCTACTGCAACGACATAGTGAAAATATAAAACAAAGGATGTTAAAGGTGAAGTTGCCAGACAAGAGAAGAGAAAGACCTCTTTATTGTCATTTGCCCTTGATGTCCTTGTAAAAGAAAAAAACCCACTGACTTCAAAGGAATGTCCTAGAAGGTTCTGGCTATTGTACAGTTAAGGTGTATTGACAGTTGTGACTAAAGTCTGAGGAGACTGGAATAAAAGATCAACTGAGCCAAAATGAATGTATTACAATATGTTATGTAATGTTTACTAATTGTTTTTGCATGCGGAACATTTACTTTTACAAATGGAGAATTACAAAATAACTGCTTCTTTTCCAAGCACCACCATGGGAACCCGGACATCAAGTTTTTCATTCGGTTCTCAGTTCTGTATAACCCCGCCAAAGAGCAGACCCAATACTGTTGTGGGATATTTTAGCACTGCACGTCCAATGAATCCTGCCACTGGCTACAGGTCCTCTCTGTCCGGTGGATCAACCCTGGATCTTCTAAGCCAGTCCAGAAGCCGTTCTCTTTCATCCGAATTAAAAACTCAGACAACAATTGATGAGAAGATAGTTATCCTTGAGAAACGAGTGAGAGACCTTATTGAAAAAAGCTGTTTGGCAAAGAGCGCCGGAGATTTGCAGACGGCTTTTAAAAGAGCCAAAGAGGCAGGAAGAAGTGAGAGAGCGTTGGTGAGTCTTCAAGAAAAAGCAGGCAGGATGAACATTGTTAATATAGGACTCACCTACTCAGTTTTGCTTAACCTTGCCAACCAGTATGAGAGCAATGAAATGTACACGGAGGCCCTAAGCAGTTACCAGATCATTGTAAAGAACAAGAAATTTACTCACGGAGGATTTGTTAGAGTAAACATGGGCAATATTTATTTTAAACTGAAAAACTACACCAAAGCCCTAAAGTTTTACAGAATGGCACTGGACACGATTTCAAATGAATTCGTGGAAATAAGGATGAAGATAATGCAAAATATTGGCCTAGTCTTTGCTCACACAGGCCAATACTCCGATGCAATAGAATCTTTTGAACACATTATGACCGAGAGACCCAACATCAAGACGGGCTTCAACCTTATCCTGTGCTACTATGCTATTGGTGATACAGAGAGAATGAAGACTGGCTTTCAGAATCTCACATCGGTCACTCTTGACATGAACGATGGACAAAAGTACATGTCAGCTCCTGATGACTTCAGTACAAGTGTAATCTTTGAAGGAGCCAAGAATGACAAGCTTTACCAGATGGGAGGAAATCTTAAAGCACTTGCTAATAAGTGCATTGTAATCTCAGTGAAGCTCATTGCTCCAGTCATTGAAACCTCTCTTGTTGCAGGTTTAGACTGGTGTTTGGACATTTTGAAGACTACTCAGCATGCTGACACAGCTCATGATCTAGAAATTACCAAAGCCGTCATCTGTCTTGGACAAAGGAACTTCAATCTTGCTGAGGTGGTTGAAACCCTAAGTACATTAGAAAAGAAAGAGAGCAGCAGGAAGGGTGCGGCAGCCACCAATTTATCCTCACTTTACTTTCTGGAGAAGGATTATGAAAAAGCAGATCGATATTCCGATTTTGCCATGGACACTGACAGCACCAACCCAGCAGTGCTTGTCAACAAGGGCAACACGACGTTCATCAAGCAGGATTACAAAAAGGCCGCAGAATTCTACAGGGAAGCACTGAAGAGTGATTCTTCTAGTACCGAGGCCCTGTACAACCTAGGGCTATCCTACAAGAAAATGAAATGTCTTGAGGACGCCCTGGAATGCTTCTTGAAGCTTCATGCCATTCTGCGGAATAGCAGCCAAGTTATGTACCAGCTGGCCAATCTCTACGAACTTCTTGGTAATCCTAAACAGGCAATAAAGTGGCTAACGCAGGTCATCAGCCTGATGCCCACTGACCCCAAGGCCCTAGCTAAAGTGGGCGAGCTGTACGAATGTGAGGGGGACGAATCTCAGGCTTTGCAGTACTACTACGAGTCCTTCAGGTGCTTTCCTTCGAGCATTGATGTAGTTGGGTGGCTGGCGGCCTACTACAACAATAATAAGTTCTTTCAAAAAGCCATTCACTATTTCCAAAGAGCTACTTTTATTCAGCCTTTAAATGTGCAGTGGCAGCTTTTGGTGGCAATCTGTTACAAAAAAAGTGGAAACTACCAAAAAGCTCTGGACACATTGCAGGACATCCACCACAGATTTCCGAAAAATATAAAATGTCTACAGATACTGGTTAAATTGTGCACCGATATGGAATTAAAGGAAAGTAAAATATATGCCACCAGGCTAAAAAAGGTAGAGAAAATGCAAGATATCAACAAACAGTTCTTTCAGTCAGATCAAGAGAGTCATGTTGAGAAACAGCACATGTGTGCTTTTATGAAGTCTGTTTATGCCCCCCAAAAGCCCTTGAGAGGCATCTACCCAAAAATTATGGAAGTGGACCCGCTGGGTACTCTAATTGGGAGACCAAAGATAGGAGCCAAAAAGCACAAACTCGATGTGAGCTTCACTGACGTAGAGCTGAAAGATGACCTCTTGCCATAGAAATTTGTTGTACCCAAGGACTGGTAATACAACGCCATTGTTGATGGACCATTACATTTTCTACATAAAATAACTTCTAGACGTTTTTTTTTCTGTTAGTGTCAGAGTCTGAATGACCTGTTGTTTTGAAACATTGACAAATTATTTTTTTAACCCTCCCGTTGTCCTTCGCATTTTGTACACACCCAGTGTATGTGTGTGTATTCACTGTTGACGTCATTGGTACTTTTCATTCATTTAAAAAAAAATGGCCCGAATGTGGGATGCTTTGCAGTAATCTGTAAACAATGCGATTTTACATGTTCCGGTGTCCCATTCATAAAAGGAAATCGGAAAAATCATTCATCAGTTTTTGTCATAAATGATGATGATGATGAATGTATCTGTTCATTAGGATGAATAGCTATGGTTATATTATTTCTATTTGTATATTTTATATATATATATATATCAAACTGAGTAAATCTGTACACATATTTAATGTTCTGACTCCCACTCCCCTCCCACTCTCTCTGTGCGCATGCATGCGTGTTAGGTCTGCTGCCCAAGTCCTTCATCTTGGCCGTGGCTTTTACTGACCCAGTTGGAAGACATCAATCATTGTGACTGTGTGTGTGCGTTTCTGTCAGACTGTACCACACTGAACCCCCTCTCTGCACCTTTGCTCTGCAGGCTTCATTCATGCTCTACACACCAGTGCACAATTCAGTTACACAGTCATTAGGCTTGTGCTTTTGAACGAGTATAGACAAACTGACACATGATCATTGCAACTCATTGGAGGATCCGACCAAATCTGATAAATTGTTTTTGTCTTCGTTTTTTTTTTTTCTCTCTCTTACTTTTAAGGGCATCGGTTGCTGATGTGTAACGTATATTGAAAAGGAACTGCGTACCAGGAGAAAACCCACCAATCACTAGTAAGAACGCATAAACTAAAACAAAATGAAGACCAAGTATGAAGCAGGCAAACTGGTGGTCCATCCATCCATCCATTTTCATCCTCTACTCCATTACCCGGTCGCGGGGGTAGCAGTCACCACCCAAATCACACTGCACCGTACCAACCCCTTTGAACCTTTCTACGGGTGGTGAGTCCACTGGAAGGTATCAACCGCCCTAACCAGGATTCAATCTTGCCCAGGAGGTGAACTCTTGGGTTCCACACCAATGACAGAGACATTGACTCTGGGCCAAAGCGCCACCAAACTGGTGGTTTTCTTGCTATAAGGGGAACATTATTTCATACTTTTTTCCTTGTATTTTTCTTGTGAGAGTATTATTTCATACTTCTCAAATACATTTTTTTCCTTGTATTTTTCTTGTGAGAGAACGGGGGGTTTCTAATACAGATCTAAGAGTCACTATGAGGGGGGTCAATCCACTCAGGCTGGGTTGTCTCTTTTGTAGTGAACAAGAAAAGACAAAAAAGTAGACAGTGTAAGTGTTTGACCAAGAAAGGACAACCGTGCAAGGAATAATGATCTCACTGTGTTGTGATCTGGAGAGAAATAATGAAGGAGTTAACTTGATCTAGAATTTGGCTTTGATAACATAACAAGCAAATGGATTTAAACCATATGTTTGACACCCCTGGATTATTAGATAATTGGACAGGCACTACATAAGGTTGACATCTCAATTGTATTTACACTTGAACTAATAACCATGGTTTAAAATGTACACCAATAAATCAAATCCATCAAATGGAATTGTTGGAATCCTGGGTATCCTCCAGCACCAAGGGGATGGACATACCCTTATTTTAAGGGCTATTACTAGACAGTTGACATACTTGGTGCGATTTGAAGGTCAGGTCATGTAGGTTAGCCTCTCTGAAGGTCTTGGTCTAATCTGATCTTCCAATTACAATTTTGCCCTTGATATTTAACCCCGTGGTCATATCTACCTACCAAGTCGATTTATAATTCATAGTTTGAGAGAATCATTCTTGATGCAGAGGCCAGGACATATTTTTAATGGCAATATGAGATCAGATTTGTGGTCCATGTTTTAAATATAACTTTCAACAAAATTATATATGTTATTACAAAACTAGCCCATCTAGGGGATTCAATCAGGCCAACATGATGAATTTTCATTTTGATTATTTGTAGAAAATCAACAACAACAAACATGGACTTCTTGCTATTTCAGGGAATTATCTTATGATTGTTCTGGTCCGGCACACTTGACATCTCATTAGGCCGTATGTGGCCCCTGAACCAAAATTAGTTTGACACCCCTGTACTATACAGTACCATGTGTACTGTAGGATTATTACATGGTGTGTAAAGTTGCAACTCCTTGATATAAAACAGTATTTTTCAACATTTACCATGTCAAAAAAAAAAAGGTTATTAAAAGAAAGTATTGCATATCAACAATATAGCGACAGTATTTTCTTTGCAAACATTTTGAAAAATGTAGCTTTACCATGTCTTTGCAAACATTTTGAAAAATGTAGCAGCGAAGTGCTGACGTACAACATTTAAATTTGAAGTACTTTCAGATAACTGGTATATGACTAGATTTTGCAGAAACCTTATTTGCCCCTGAAAGAAGACGATCTTTTCAGTGCGTGCTCTCGCCAGGGTTCACCGCAGTGGTAGTGCACAGTGTGATTTTAAGAAACTATTAACTATTAAGGTCGGTGGGGTTTTCTTTGTATATTTAAAGCAGAGAGCACCTCCACATGCCGCTGTCAGCTGGATCATAACAGCTTTATTTAAGTCTTGACTAAGACCGAAATAGATTTATAGCAATATGTCACACCTTGTGAATTATGCAGTTGAGCATATCTGCTGTTTCAAAAGGAGGAGTTGTGGACAACCTGTATTATTTAACAGTATGAAAATTCATTTTGCCCGAGTGTCAAAAGAGGGCTTTCTAGAAGCCTGAAAAAGTGCCAGGGAGACAGAGAAAGAGTAAGCACTAAAAGAATAGCCAGATGAATGCACTCCAGCATATTTTATTCGAGTCTTCTGCCTCTCTTCCCCCTCTTGGTCTCTTTTCCCCCTCGAGACACACTTTTGTATTACCTATCACAATGCTTCACTTACTGCTGCTCCTCTAAAATAGCACATGCGAACACTCCTTTGCAGACAATAGCCAAGCCGGTCCAGAAAACTCTCCAGGAAGACAAAGAGAGTCTGGTGTGTCTGCATTTGTCAGTTCACTCAATTAATGTTGAAATGTTTTATTAAAACAAATTAAACCAAATTATTCCTGAAAATGATTTGGACTGATACCACAAAGATACAGAATACGCCTCCCAGTGGTTGGTAAACATTATTGCTTTCGTTCTCCATGTAACTGCAGAATGATTAGCAGTGGTATGTTGGTAAGTTTTGAACAAGTTACAGGGGATCGTCAGTTTATGACGTCCTTGACCTACGAATTAAAAATCAAATTGTCTCACGCCGTAGGGACGGAATTCCGACATAAGCCGAGGACCTGCTGTATTTTGTTTGACTTCATTGACCAGATTATTACCAGATTTGTGTTTCATTAATGAGTCATGGTAATACTCTCTGGAGGCTTGGTGACAAATCAGAATGTAGGGCAGCCATGTTTGTAGTGCAACAGTGAAATGTGGCTGCATCGTTCCTGCTATTATCCTTTACATGTTTTTTTTTTTTTTTAATCATCTATTGATCTATCTGAAGCACGAGGAAATGAGCTCTTAAATTATTCTAATAAAGTGTTTTCAGGGAATGACAAATACTGTGTAATAAGAAACAAGTTACTAAAAAAAAAAAAGCTTTATTACTAAACATAAAGTACCACAAGAGTAAAAAAGCACCATCTGCCAAACCCCGTTCACCGACTCACATTTAGCAACAAAAAACAACAACATTTTACTTAATCAACCAATTGCACATGCACTTGATATAAAAAGAGAACGAGAGAGAGAGATTCCTGCAGTTTAGAGTCCAGTGTGGTTAATCAGTGTGATTACTTAACTAAAAGCACTGTTTCGAACATTTAGAAACAAATAAGTCTGACATTCTACCAACGGTTTGTAGCCTAAATGCCAGTAGTAATTTGCAGCTTTAAATGTTGTTTTCCCACAACATTTAGAAACCCTTTGAAATAAAATGTTTTGGTTTTATTTCTATGAGACAAAGAAGTAGGAAATGATCTGGAATTAAAGACATCCCTTAGAAATCTACAAAGAAGATTGATGGAAACTAAACTTTTTCCTAAAAATGAAAAAAGAACAAAAACTAATCTTGTACATATCCTTCTCTTCTTGAGCTACGTAGTAACCGGCACCATGCCACTGTTTAGCCTGCAACACAGTTTTCAAGCTCTGTGACTATTTCTGTAGGTGCAACTCTACTACGATGGATTCCTCATTAAAGTTTTCTCACAGTTGTTGCATTTGAGGGGAAACAACGTCCAAGAACAGCGTCCATTAGCCAACGCTCATGGCGGTTACTGTCAAGCCTTTTCTATTTTGTATCTGCAAAACTCTCTTCCTTGTATCACATTTCTTCCTAGTATTTGTTTGTCATATTAAGAATTAATTTCCCATCTGAAGACAATCGCTCTGGGTAATAAAACAGTGCCATTTGAAGTGGAAAAAAAAAGTGAAATTCTCATTCTGCCGTCGAGTCTTTAAACAAACTACACAATATAATACATATAACACAATATATTTGTATTTATTCTGGCAAGTCAACATTTATGGGCACATTTTTTTTTACTGTCTAAACAGCCTTTTAGACATGTCGTAGTATATAATGTATGTATATATGCACCACCATGCACTTGACCCAGCTCCCACATATCCTCCATTAACTCACTGAACTCGCTGGATATCTGAGGACTAACATGGTAGCAGAGGACGACTATGTTAGTCCGTAGTTTTGTCCGTGCGAGAATGCGTTCGTCCGCATGTGTGTGTGTGAACATAAGTAACTGCCAAGCTGCCAGTTCTAGGTAGTAAATTCTACATCATGACTATCAGCGTGATTAAATAGAGGTACCGAGGCACATCCATCATGACACATAATCACCAAGAAAGTTGCAGAGGTCATGGACTTGGGTAGGAAGCTAATGGAATAGGGGCATGGGTGTTGAGTGCGTAAGCGTATAACCGCAATGTTTTTCTATATTGAATTTATGCTTACGGTGTGTTACAGCAGGTGTAGGCAGCGTAAATATGAGACTGAATAGATCAAGGAATGAAAGTATTGCAATAAAAAAAAGTACGTAAATCCTTCACAATTTAAAACATCTATATGTAATTTTAAAAAAAATTACAGTTTTTTTTTGTAATTTTATTTTGGTAAATTGGGATGAGTTGCAGAAAGTTTAACAAAACTCCAATTGGTTTGTACTGGTGTATTCTGTGACTAGTAGCTCAATGACAACCAGTTAGCCCAGGCATGGGCAAACTAAGGCCTGGGGGCCGGACGCGGCCCGTTCAGCTTCTTTTCCAAATTATATAATTTATTTATATTTTCATTATACATCTGCCTTTTCCTTGCAGTACCCACGTTCCCCAATAGATGGTGCTACAAATAAAAGTATTTTAACATTTTAGCCTTTATGCATGACTTTTACATGTCATTTATCTTAGTTCACATGAACACTCCATCTATCTGCTCCTGACCCGGCACCCCTGTTAAATTTTAGGACAATTGTGGCCCGCGAGTCAAACAGTTTGCCCACGCCTGAGTTAGCCTCTACTCTTTTAGCACTTGTTTTTAGCGTAGGTAATAAGAAGATAAACTACAAATGTTTGCAACTTAAAAGGAACTCGGTATAAAACAGTGGTGAGATGGGATTAAAAAAAAACACAGGTGGAATCTGACAAGAGTGTAAGGTAATTAGAAGCTCGTGTTAGCCCGTGACCTTGTTTTGCTATCTTAAAACGTAACGTTTTTTGCTTTTTAATTAACCTTTCAACAATGTGATAGTAGAAAACAGCTTCATCCGTCATAGTCCAAAAACAAAGAGAGAAAAAATGTTTGCACCTTACTTTTAATTTGTCCATTGTAGTGGATTGGTCGGTCACAGTGTCCTGGCCAGTTTGCTGGTTCATCTCTCCCACTTGCTGTATGGACTTTGCACATCATCAGCATGTGTGTTTTTCCTCAGGTTTTTTTGTTCCTATCACAGACAAGAAATATGAAGGTTACGGAGAAGATCATTTGGATATTCTTCATCAACCATAAGAATAAACATAAGGGTTGTTTCTCTGTACGTGGTACTGTCCCTCTGATCTGCTCATTTCTAATCCTTCCCATCCTGTTTCACTCCCAGTGAAGATCTAAACATATTCAGCTCTGCCACCTCCAACTTAGTCTTTTGTCTATTAAGTCTCTGAACCATACATCATAGCAGATCTCACTACTGTCAAACAAACGTGATCTTTCAACATTGCTACCATTTTTCTCTATTAAAAATGCTCTCTGTTACGAAACCCCCCACGTTCCCTTCCCATCCATTCCCAATGTCTGCATCCTTTGCTTCACCTCGTTTGTGCACTGTTCTTTACATGTTTACCCATCTATTCTCCTCCTCCTCCTCCTCCTATAGCTCCTTTTGATCTTCAGCCCTTCCCGAGATGGAGGTTTGCTTTGGAGCTCCCCGTCTGCTTTCTATAATAAACATCAAAAAATGTTAGTCTCTTAAGTACATGCATAACTATGGCATGGATATGTAGATAATATTTAAGAGAGAGAGAGAGAGGGAGAGACAGAAAGGAATAGAGAGAAATAAAGCAAAAGATAGTGAGCGAGACAGAGCGTCAGGCCACTGAGGTAGGAGAAGGACTGGTCGTATCACGAGGAAAATCTTGCCAAAGTTGCTTACCCGTATCTCGTATTTGGGGTAGCTCGTATCTTGAAGCCCCACTTCGTACCTAACAAATGACCGTATTTATTATTACCTTTCTTACTTTTCGAACCAGACTACACTTTTGTACGTCCTCAACAAGTTCACACAAATGAGTCAGGAATGACCCACATGCATTTGATGAAAACCTGGATTAATAAAGCTCTGTCCATCTATTTATCAATTGATCAAACATTCACAGGAGGACATGAGGCTGGGGTCTCCAAAAATGAGGAAAACAGAAGAAAGACGGGCCAGTACTTAAGCACGGTACACTTGCACTCACACTAGCCATAGAATCCGGACATTAAGGGGCAAACATGCTTGGGTCTGATTGCCCAGTGTAAGTGCACACTTAGTGCTTTAGCCCCGTCTAACCTTTCTGTGACCAGCTGTCTTCTGCTCCTGTCTATATCTACAGAATATTTAGTATGATACTCTATCGGCCCAGAGCACACAATCCCACCATCCCGCAACCCAGTTACTATGTTTTTATATATAGCTACAGCACTTGGCCTCGTTTCTATGTCAGAGGTAAACACTTTGGACTTTCATAAAGATCTTCATCTTATCCTGCTCTGAACAAATGGCGTCGCTGGATATTCTCTATTTTTTTTTTTTTTTTTTTTTAAGAAAGTAAACTAATTGCTTCTTTTATACGATTCATTAAGTTCACTTGGCCCCTTGTTTCTTCATGTAGTTCTTCAAAGGTGCCAATTCCATTTTGCTTCAGAAATGGTGTCTAGGTAACACTTTTCTGATGGAATATAGAGGGTGCTCTTCTTCTCTCCGGCGTCTGGGATTTATCTCTTATGAGAGACATTCACAGATCATCTTAGGAGCCATTTCCTCCATGTGATCGTGAATCTTGCTTTCATGTCAAACAGAGCCTCGGGATAATGGACTGGGGGTAAAACCTTTCTTATATTGTATTAATTGTTTGCTATCTATCTGTCTATCTATCTATCTATCTATCTAGCTAGCTAGCTAGCTAGCTAGCCAACCATTTAATTACTAAAATAATTTATTCTTGAACATTTTTTAAATAAAATTTAAAAATATAAAGCCTCAAACAAAACTTTAAAGAAAGCAGAGAAGACAATATGTACTACATGCACTAATTATTTTCATAGTATTTCTGATCAAAATTATTTCTTTAATCTGATTTAATATGTCCAATAGTTACCTTAAAATCATTGTTACAATATTTTTTCCAAAATAAGTGAGTAAAATGACTTCCATTAATTGCTTGATACTTTTCATAGGAGGAATAAATAAATGATTGACAGTTTGAACTCACTACTTACACGTCAGCAAAACAAGTAATAAAGTAAATAAAATAAATAAATAAATATAGTAATAGTAATGATGCTTTTAGTGGAGGAAAAAAAACTGCATATAATCCACACAAACAACTTATAAAAACAAAAAAATTTCAACAAAATTATTTACTAAATACATTATAAAGATACTGTATATCCTAGACTCAAAATTGAGGGTGGGACTTGGAAATTAGCCTTTTACAATCGCTACGGTTACCTCATTGCTTCTCCTGCAGCATCCTTTGACAGACGCAAAAAAAAAAAAAAAAAAAATCACTATTGTCACCTATTTATACAGTGAGAGGCATTTAAGGATGCTATGGAACAGGTACAGGTGTTTGGGGGAGATAAGGCCACATCTGCCTACCAGCATTCCCCAACCTGACACTTGAACGGGTAGGAAAAACAGGGTGATGGGTATTTCCAGCTGTCAAACTGTCAGTCATTCTCCATTTCATGTATAAATCAAGGAGGTAGAGGATGAATAATGGTGGGGGGAAAAGGGGAATGGGGGGTGGAGACTTGTCATTTTATAGACACTTGATGATGAACTGACAAAATAAACATGCTTCAACTTAAAGCAGAAATATATATAAATATATATATAGTGTCATTTTGTTTCCTTAGACACATAATTAACAACACCTGTACCATAATTTCCGGACTATTGAGTGCACCTGAGTATAAGCCGCACCCACTTAATTTCTAAACGAAAATAAAAATGTACATATATAGACCACACTTCTCTATAAGCCGTAGGTGTCCACATTGTAACATGAGATATTTACACAGAAAGATTTTTTTTTTTTTTACTTTTAATTAAATAAATGCTTTTTTCCCAAACAGTGCCTGTAACACGGCTGGTTACACATTAGCTCTTACCTGCTTCGGAGCCTCGGCCGCAGTTAGAATGCACCGAGGAGACTTAGCAATCTGCTCCAGGGCCGAAGCTAACATTAGCTCGGGGGCTAACTCCCTTCACTTCTGCAGCAGAGGTAAACAGAAACAGGGAAGTTGGGGTGTTTATTATCAGCCAAACCGACCACAACAGAACATAAGCATACCTTACGGTTCTGGGGCAGCAAGGATGATGTCTAATGTTAACTGGTGATAGCATACTTTTCTTTTAAGTAAGTGATGGCAGCTGTTGACAAATGGCTGCCAGTAACAAATGTTGGGGTTAGCTTGTTGCTAACATTGCTTGTAGTTGTACTCTCTTAAAGAGAAACTATATCTGTGCGTGGTTGTTACAGTCCAATCTAAATTCTTTGTCTTTGTCCCGCATCACACACTGCAGACAAACCACATCTGCCATTCACTTTGTTTTCCAAATGTAAATATTAAATACAAGCAAAATCTATTTATAAGGGAATGAAGTTGTGTCTAGGCTCAATTCAAAGTTGCCTTGGGACATTTAATCAAATTCAGGTGAAATGCAATTTTTGCGTCAGGGTGGTTTGAATAGTTTTGTGCAGAATTTAATACTGAATCCAAAAGTTCTGTATCGTGTGAACTTTTATGATGCTGCTAAAGTATATGGACAAAGGAGGAGTAACTGAGTTAAAATGTTTCTTGTTACTCATAACTGAAATGAAAGTTGGGTATGAAACAAATGCATTTTGCCACTGCCAGGGCAGTAGGGATTTAATTAGGTTGTTATAGATAAACCACTTATCCATAGAGCCCAGAGCAACAATCATAACATTATAATAGCCTCCATCAAAGCAAAAGCAAATTAACTTTTTTTTCATACATCTTCCAAAATATCTGGTCTGCTACTGCAAACACACATGATGATCAGTATACCTAAAGCAATTATGTAGAATACTAGTGGACAGTTTTTCTCAAATCAGTTCAAATCTCATCTGAGGGGATTTCTTTAGTTCTAGCATTTAGCCAAGACGTGGGCTTGACTTGACTCTTGATTCGCTGGCCACAGTGGGTCCTAAAATTTAACAGGGGGTCCGGCTCAGGAGCAGAGATGTTAACTAGATGTAGCATTCATTTGAACTATCCATCCATCCATTTTCATCCGCTTATTCGTTTCCGGGTTGCAGAGGCAGCAGTCTGCACGACCACTACCCAGATCACACTGCACCGTACCAACCCCCCTGAATCTTCCTGCGGATGGTGAGTCCACTGGAAGGTACCAACCGCCCTAACCGGGATTCGATTTTGCCCAGGAGGTGAACCCTGGGGTCTCACACCAATGACAGAGACATTGCCTCTGGGCCAAAGCGACACCATATTGATAATATAAATGAATAATATAATTTGGACAAGTTTGGCGGGCCGGATTGAGAGGCCAAACAGGCCACGTTCGGCCTTCGGACTGTAGTTTGCCTATGCGTTAGATTTAGCCTCAGAGTCACTGAATACTAAAAAAGGGGGATGGGGGGGGGGGTGTAAGTCACATGGGAGGTTGGTATCGCCTGAGAAACACTGCAGGCTGTTTGATCCTTGATCCTGTCTGTGTTGTTTTTTGTATGGGGTTGGGTTTTCTGGGAACTGAAGTCAAGACAACATATGGGTGGATAGATAGATGGATAGATGGATGGATGGATGGGTGGATGGATGGATGGATGGATGGATGGATGGATGGATGGATGGATAGATAGATCCCAAGGGGTAATTAAGAACAACTTAAACATTAATAAATTGCAGAATGCAGATTTTTACTAGCAATCAGTTAGAACTGAAGAAGCCTCTTCAGGAGACCAAGCCAATCCAGTTGACTTTTGTTTCAGATCAAATTACCTGAATGACTGAGAACCTACATATAGTAGACATGATACTTCAGAATATTCACTAAGGGAATTTGAAATCTGAGCGTAACGTAATAATAACAATATTAATAATAAGTTGTGTTTTGGATGCTGTATAATTAAAGAAAAAAACAACAACAACAACAATATATTCTACTGTGTAAGCCAGTGTGTGTCCTGTCCTTCTCCCTGTGTCTCATTTCTCCCACAGACTGAGATGTGGTGTCACCAGATGCCTGGAGCCACAACACCTGTTAAATCACAACCTAGGGCACTGTGTGTGTTTGTGCATATCTGTGCCTGTCTGCGTACCTTTGACAATAGCAAAAAAAAAAAAAAAAAACAGCAGTACAATCTAGAGCAGGAAGAAAGCAAAAAATACTGTCACCTCCAAATGAACACCTCTGAAAGTTCTCCTGAGGAACGGTGAGCAAAAAAAACGCAGCACAAGTGTTGGCATGATACGCTGTGTCACATGGTAACCTGCTGCACTGACACACTCATTAACCCAAATGCTCTCAATGAAAAGTAATGCCCACTGCGATGACTAGTAAATAACAGGTGCGTGGACAATGATCCAAGAAGATCGGCAGGTATAAACTCTCTGTTCGCCACTGTGTAGTTTTAGTAAAGTGCTGCAACGCATAATAGAAGTATTGATTTGTTTACTGGAATTTGATGTAAGTAGATTAAGGATCTTAACGCGACGGTAACAACAGCTTGTAGTCTGGTCACGTTCGTTGATGGATGAATGAGGGAGAAAAAAGTGGCAGGGTAAACACAAGGAATACGGAGCCATTCGCCTCGGGTAGTTTTTTTTTTTTTTTTACTGTGTGTAAAGTATTCTGTGTGTATTTGTGTATATATGTTCTTTGTGAGAACTCTGCTATGGTCGACGGTTAACATTGTCCTCGACCTACAGTGTTTCGTCGTTACATCGCCATATCCCATTATAATTAGTTTGGTAAACTGAGGGTACGAATATGAGGCCACACAGCGCTATACGTGGTGCCTTTGTTTACATTTGCCGGTAGTAGCAATATATTTGATTGTGCTACATTCCCTTCCTTTCGTTTGTGTTAGGGTTTTTTTTTTGGGGGGGGGGGCTTTTTTTTTTCTCCCAAGGTTAAGGCAAGATTTTGGATTT